AAAAAGGAAACTTCAAACACGCCGAACGGCCAGCAGGAACAACAAGGCCGTGTCCTAACTCTCCCAGATGTCATGATCCTGGTCATAATTCCTCGCCGGGAGTTATAGTCTCATCCTCAACATCCTGCTCCTCCATTCATACGTCTTTTTCTCCCCGTCTCTCATTCTTCTCTTTCCGCCTTCGCTCGTCTTCGCTTCAGAGAGAAATATACGGAAATATGCATGTGTGACAGTGCGTGAATATGTTTCGCGTGAGGGTGTTTATGCGTCGTGTTTGTATGTGCGTCCGTATGTATTACGCATATGTATGACAAGTGTATATGATATGATATAAACATCTTCGAACGCGGATCGAAGACGAGAAAGTCCAGTTGATTAAAGCAAAGATCTAGGACCAAGTTTCTTGCCTTGGGAAAGTAAAGTGAACGCATATGTAAGGTGGCAAACGCCCTGCCTTTGTATTCCCGAGGGACGGCAAAACCACCACGAACAAAGCTGGCAGCTGTGAATGATTGACATAATATTTCAGCCTGATATTCCGCCAACACAATTTGCACGTTCCTGGCAGACTTGGACTTGGGAATGTTTGGAAAAGAAGGAAATCTTTTCATTTTTATTTTATTTATTCAGCTGGTTATTTTATCTTTTTCTTCTCCTCATTTTTCATTTCCATTATTTATTCAACTGCACAAATTTTGCAGGATCCTTTTTAAAGCATGATTTACTCTCATGATTTTACGCCATATTTCTAATTCAAAACGAAAAATATTTGTCGTTAACAAACTACTTCATTAGTCTCGATGTCATTACTTCTTTTAATACTTTTTTATATTAAGAAAGAGAGAGAGAGAGAGAGAGAGAGAGAGAGAGAGAGAGAGAGAGGAGAGAGAGAGAGAGAGAGAGGAGAGAGAGAGAGAGGAGAGAGAGAGAGAGAGAGAGAGAGAGAGAGAGAGAGAGAGAGAGAGAGAGAGAGAGAGAGAGATGAGAAGGAAAGAGGGAGGGAGAAAGTAGAGAGAGAGATAGAGGGAAGAAGGAAAGAGGAGGGAGAAAAGTAGAAGAGAAGAGAGAGTAGAGAGAGAGAGGTGAGAGAGAAGCGAGAGAGAGAGAGAGAAGAAGAGAGAGAGAGAGAGAGAGAGAGAGAGAGAGAGAGAGAGAGAGAGAAGAGAAGAGAGAAGAGAGAAGAAAGAGAGAAGAGAAGGAAATAGAGAAAAGACGAGAGAAGAGAGAGAGAGAACGAGACGAGAGAGAGAGAGAGAGAGAGAAGAGAGAGAGAGAGAGACGAAGAGGAGAGAGAGGAGAAGAGAGGGAGAGAGAGAGAGAGAGAGAGAGAAGAGCGAGAGGGAGAGAGAGAAGAGAGAGAGAGAGGAGGGAGTGAAGAGAGAGAGAGAGAGGAGGGAAGGAAAGAGGAGGGAGTAGAGAGAGAGTGTGAGAGTGAGAGAGGAGCGAGGGAATGAGAGCGAGAGAGAAGAGAGAGAGAAAAAAAACAGACAGAGACAGATAGACAGACAGACAGATACAGAGAACATTCCCAATATTAATTCAGACACAATACAGGTAAAAGTATTTAAACTGAATATACGAACACTAACAGTTCTTATGCAAGGGTAAGCGTATTCGTGTGTGTGTGAGCGTGAGTGTTTGTGTGTGTGTGTGTATGTGTACGTGTGTGTGTGAGTGTGTAAAAAAAAAGCTTCAGATCATCAAACAGGCAATTTACATTACAATTACCACACACTTCTAACACCTAGACCAAAACCTTAATCATCGAGTTCAAAATACAACTACATCTTCCCTGCCACATAGATATTCCAACCACGAGGATCTCCCCTCCAATTCCCCCCCGTCTCAAAGTGAAAGCGAAGAGCTCCGATCAAGCTGCAAGTGTGGTTATCTTTTCCCCGGGTATTCATAATGGGAAAATGAATTCCAAACACTTCCCGGGACCTCGAGTGGGCAGCTGGCAGCGCGTGGCAACAAGGGTGTCGTCCGCTGATAACTCGTGAAGGAGGTTTCTGCCACGGCAAGAGGTGAGTTAACAAAGAGCGCTTAATCAATATACTTCATTTTCATTTTCTTAACGACGCCGTAAATTAGAAACCTTCAATTAAGATATAACAATAAATATACCGCAATGGAAAATGTTAGCTTTATAATAACCAGTACATTGGGCCTTTTCATGTTCCCTTATCATTTTTGGCCCTTGTGCAGAATACCACTAATTACCGATAGTTCTTTTACATACAGCTCTTTTCTGGTAATAACAAAATGGTTTTAACTTACGGTTTACGTGCACAATCCAAATACATACACTGAATGGCAATATCCATTTCAGAAAAGACAGTGCAATCAGTACAGGCATTTACTTTGATATTGCTAGTGCATTTAGTGCGATCTATCATCCTTTCCCGTCAATCTATCCTGATTTTCCACAAATTCGGAGAGGGAAAAGCAACTGCAAAACATTTTGAAAGAGAGTGCTTTGCCGTGTTCTAGTGTTACTCCCACACCTAGTGTGCACTAGCGTGTGGCTATACATACGGTGGCTAAATACCATAATCATTCTCTTCGTGTGACTCTAATTGCTGCGTGCAAGGTGTGGAACAGAAAGTCTCTCGGCCAGTGTTCAAGAGTGGTTCGAGGTCGGACCACGAGAGAAGGTGCGAGTGCGAGGCGGAAGTGGCCCTGGTTACCTGCCCCGCGGTGGTTGCCAACAGTGAAGGAGCTAACTTCGAGCGCTTCGCTACCTGCCTCCGCTACATGAACCGCTTCCCGTCTTCCGTGACGATCGTCGTCACTACTTCCTGAGCTTGTGTGTCCACCGAAAGAAAAACCTTTGTGTCTATATAGAAAAAAAAAAGAAAAGAGGCGAACATGATTGAAATCAAACAGAGGCTGATCACTACTTATTGCTTTGCATAAAGTTCTCTCCCAATTTTTTTCAATTATTTGCAACAAGGGATAAAGACAATATGTATACATTTGAAATATTCATCGATAGGTTAAGTACCTGACGTAGAATAAGAAAATGTTGTAAAGGTAAGTACATTGGTATATACGTACATACATATATACATGCATATATGAATACAATTATACACAAATGTATACATACATACATATGCATATACATATCTATAAGAGAAAAAATCTATATACACGTATATAATATATATATATATATATATAATATATATATATATATATATATATATATATATATATATATATATATATATATATATATATATGTATATATATATATATATATATATATATATATATATATATATATATATATATATATATATATATATATATATATATATATATATATATATATATATATATATATATATATATATATATATATATATATAATGTGTGTGTGTGTGTGTGTGTGTGTGTGTGTGTGTGTGTGTGTGTGTGTTGTGTGTGTGTGCATATATATACCTGTATGGACACACATACATGTGTGTGTGTGTTTGGGGGGGGGGTCATGAGTATGTTTATCTGTGCATCTGAATGAGTGAATATCATGAGCATGTTTCCATCTCTTCAAGTATTCATGCATGCTCAGCGGCACTGCACAGGGCATTGTGCCAACTCAGTTTGCCCGCGTCAAGGTCATTCGTCATGAGCAAGGAGCTAAATTCTTTACTTGGGCCGCGCTTTCAGTGAGTGACGATGTCGGACACGCTCTCTGAAGACTGTCACGCCTCCCAAAAGCACACTCCTAAGAGACGTGTGTAGGGTTGGGTCGGCCCGTGGATGCACAGTGCCAGTTTGGCTTCCTTCTAAAAATTCAAAAATTCAAGTGCAGTGCCAGCATGTAGTGCCGACGTCTTGTGTGCTTAGGTAGGTTTTCTCTCAATCTTTGCGCTAACACCGTGACATCAACATCCACGGTGGTATTAGTGTGAGTGAATTTACGAATAACCGCGTGTTTTGGCACTGACCATAAGGGCAAGGGCGTGTTCGTAATCGTATTTTAACCTGTCCTTTCAAAAAACATGTTCAGTCATTTTTTACGAAATTATGTCCTCCAGGAATAACATCTGAGGCTACTTGCCCTATGCCTTAAAAAATGATATCCATGCCATGATTGCAGGAGTGTGGCAGTCTTGTGCTTAGGCGAGTCTAATGTCTTAGAGTCTAATCCTAAGAGTCTCGTATGGAAACTGAGCCTCTCTTTTTATTAAATGTATTGTCATTTCATTGTTATGTGAAATGTCTGTCGTTGCCATGGTTACTGCAGTCCTTGTCAGTCTGCCTTCAAAGACTTCCCCTGACATCGTCACTCGATGCAGCCACGAGATTAGCTCAGTATATAAGGCTTGTATATGAGAGCGGCGCTGAAGCTCGCAGATCTGCACAGCGCCCCTGGGTGTGGTGGGGCCGCGACCTGCATCCCTCGAGCCGAAGCCCAAACAGTGCCCCCCCCCTCCCCCCCCCCCCCCCGGCAGCCCAGCCCAGTACTCACCGGAGAGCCCCCCGCCGGGCTTCTCGGGCGGCGCGTAGCCTCTGCTCTTCCCGCGGCCTCTGTGTCCCTCCTGGCCGCGCCGCGCCCACAGGCAGCGCACCAGCAGCGCCAGCACCAGAACCAGCACGACCACCACCACCAGGCTCCCCAGCAGCACTCCTGCCGCGGGCCCTTCCTCCCCGGGCTCCTCCTCCACCTGCTCGTCTCCTGGGAAGGACAAAGAGAAGGCTACTTACGGAGAGCACAAAGGGAGAAACTCTGCAGGGATAAAACCGAAATCGGATTAATCTCATTAGTTCCATCTCCTTAATCAAGACTAAGAGCACCTAACGGCAGTAAACACATCGATCAGGCAAAGGGCGTAATCTCTCTTTGGCGTGCGCGCCCGTGCCATAATTAGGCAAAGCGAAAGAAAGGGAAAAGTCATTTACTCATTCTGTTCTCCGCCATCTTGTAGGTGAAGGCCTCCAGTCTGACGGGGTCGGAGTTCCCGAGGGAGTTCCGGGCCATGACCTGGATG